CAGTAAAACTTTATTTACAAAATCAGGCAGAGGGCTGGATTTGGCCCATGGCAGTAGTTTGCTAACCTCTCACCCAGGATGTTGTGAAGATTAAATGAGAAAAGGCTTGTCATGAGCCTAGCACAGTGCCTGGCACAGAGCACCCACTATAAGGAAGGATTCTAACTATTGTGTATCTGATTTGAGGTCTAGGCTTCACTCCTTTCTCCAGGAGAAGGAAAGCATCCATGAGCAAGACTTTTCAACCTAGGTACCAGCCCCATTCTCTGCCCCAAATCAAAGCTAAACATGCATCTCAGCACATGGAGCCTGGCGGGGCCACCGCCTCCTCCCTCCCCCGGGGATGGAGGTAAAATGCCAACCCCTGGGGTGTGATTAATTCTCTTCGTCCCACGCTTCCCCCAGGGTGTGTTGCCATTTCCAGCATCTGTCCCGTGGAAATCAGGTTGCCCATCTGAAGCAATGTGAGGAATGAGGATACTTGTATCTGCGAGGCGGTTAACTCTGCGCTTTCGCATCCACAAATGCATTAAACCTGGCCCGGAGGCTGTGTCATATGGTTAAAGATGAGAGAGAGAACACTGGGTTTGAATTCTGTCTCTGCAACGTTCTGGTTGTGTGATGTTGGGCGAGTCACTTTCCTTCGCTAAGCCTCAGATTCATCATCTAGAAAATAGGGATTAAATGAGATAATACACATAAAACCTCCAGCACAGCATAACACGTGATAGCTATTGAACCCCATTTTGCATAGGAAGGAAGTGATGCTAAAGAGTAAAGGGGCTCATTCAAGGTCGTGCAGCTGGTGGTTGGCCTCAGACCAAGAATCTCTAACTCTGGCCCGTAGCTGGGTTTCACCACGCCCCATCCTCTGGCCGTTTCCTAGGACTCCTGCTACTTCCAGCCAGGACTGTGCTCCATGGACGGTGACTGAAGCTCTTGGAGAGAGTGACATCACTGTCAGGGAGCTTGCAAACCCATGGCCATTCATCACTGTAGTGGGTCACAGTGCCCTCCCCAAATTCACATCCACCCAGAACCACAGAATGTGACCTTAATGGAAACAGGGTCTTTGCAGAGGTAGTTAAGATAAAGATCAAAATAAGATCATAGTGGATTAGGGTGGACCCTAAATCCAATGGACAGAAAAGGACAGAGAAGGACACAGAGCGACGGGGAAGAAGGCCACGTGAAAACCAAGGCAGAGGTTGTAGCGATGCTGCCGCAAGCCGAGGATTGCCAGGAGCCACCAGGATCTGGAAGAGGCAAGGAGGGATCCTCCCCTGGAGCCTTTGGAGGGAGCGTGGCCCTGCCGACACCTTCATTTGGGACTTCTGGCCTCCAGAACTATGAAAGAATAAATTCCTCTTGTTTTAAGCCACCCAGTTCATGGTGATTTGTTATGGCAGCCCTAGGAAATTAAGACACCTCCCTTGACTCTGAGATGTGGATGAATAGGGGGCGTCGGACTTGGAACGCCTGTGTGGACAAGGGGCAGTGGTGTTGGGACAAAGAGTATGTGTCTTGGAGGCAGATGTGGGCTCAGCTCATTCCCTTGCCAGCTCTGAGCCTTTGTTTCCTTATTTGTAAAAAAGAGAACATCCAGATCCTGCTGGCTTGTGTCAAGGATTAAAAGATACGGCACAGCAGAGCAGGCCCAGTGGTAATAACAAAGGAGATCATAACTATGTATTGAGCACAACATGGTTCATTCAATCTTCGCAACTGCCCTGGGGGGTGGGTTCTCTTATTATCCTCATATTAAAGAGGAGGAAACTGAGTCACCGAGAGGTTAACTAACTCTCCAAGGCCACACAGCTAGTGAGGGGCAGAGCCGTGACTCAAACCCAGTCCATCTGACTGGAGAATGTCCCCTACCTCCCACCCCCGGGTCACCCCAACCTTCTATTGCTCCATGCCCAGAGTCAAACCTGGTTCTCCAGGCTGGTTGGAGCCCGGCACAGTAACGCTCAATTCATATGAATATTTTAATCTTGTTCCTTCCTCCTTCCTCTAGCCAGGCCTCATTGTTCCAATCCCAGGAGCCATCTCTGCCTGGCGTCTGGGGCAGTAGGACTCCAAATCTGATTCCAGGGGCCTTGAGGAGATCATCACCCAGCATGTCACATGGAAAATTTCGTAAAAATCCTCTTTAGACGTCTCTTCCTCTTCTGAGGTCCCAGTCCTGAGAGAGCCCCTCTGATCCCTCTCCTCTCCCTCCTTTTTCTGACACTCACTCCCTTCCCTCCCCTGCCTCTCCCCTTTCACCCTTATCCACACCAGCTCAGCCTGACAGCAGGATTGTCTCCAGGACCCGCCATCCTTAGAGGGCAGGAAGAGGCAACTGTGAATATCCCGAATTCCACATTTTCTCTCTTTCCCCCACCTCACCTGTCTTCCTCCCCACAACCCATCTAGACAATTGTCCACTGCCCTCAGCCCCCACTCAACACCAGACTCTGCACTGTCTGTGTTGTGAAATCCGGGAATATGTCTGAAAATACAGAGAAGCGGACATTGCCGAGAAGCTGAATTAAGGGGGGAAAAATCTCCAATAGGCCTTTGACTGTCATGCCAAAATTTCTTCTCCCTAACTCATTTCTTGGCTTTTTCCATGGCCTTTGTCCTCGTTTATCTCTTACAAACTGCAAGTTATCTCAGAGAGAATTAGGGAGGCCATTGATTTCAATGTGAGAATCAACTACAGGTAACTGCCTTCCTCCTGATTCCTCAGCAAAATGAGGAATTTTGGTTGGTGGAGGGAAGGCAGGTAGTTTTGGCATGTGGAATGGATGTGTTAGGGGGTAGGTGATTGAAGGGTATGGCAATTTACCAAAAATCTGATGTCTAGTGAAGAACTCAGGGGCAGGAGTTTCCCACAGATGGCAAAGCAGTCGTGTGGGCTTCTGGGCATGGGCGCAATTCAGGGATGCAAGCAAATAGGAGTTTGCAAGTGAAGTCTTAAGTGAAGACTGCAAATCGCAGCGCCCCAGATCCTGAGCAGGTGTGCTGGGCTAGGGCTCCAGGTCGTAGAAAGGAGACAGGAGAGAGAGGGCAGCTTTCCAAACCATTGACTTGGACATAAGGAAAAAGACAAGCGCCGGGTAGCAGAATTGAGGTGCCGGGTGTGGAAGGAGTTCACAGATGTAAGTGATGTGATGTTGGCCTCAGAGTAAAGCAAGAACATCCCCTCCCCTGCGTCGTCTTCTCTACCTGTGAAAGACCTGAGAATATCGCACCCTTGAAAACCCAGCCCTTCTCTCTGGAAAGGTGGCCCAAAGGCACCTCTTAGATGCGTGCAAAGATTTAACTTTGAGAATGCTCATCACAGGGCTGTTTATAGAGAGGAAAATGGAAAACAACCTAAACGTCTGGGGGTTGGTGAAGTGACTCATGACACAGCCACAATTAGAAAACTACACAGCCTTTCACAGCCTTGGACGAACATCGAAGGATGTGCAAAATGCTCATGATGTGTTGTTAAGTGAAAAGAGCAGGTAAAAAAATGGTGAGACCCTAACTTTATATTACAAAAATCAGACCTATGTAATGGTGGGTATGTATGCATATAATTGTATATGCGTTGCCTATGACATTATGCATAAATGTTAATATATGTGCATACATTAACATTTTTAACTACTAAGATTTCGGTGTACATTTTTCCAGTCTTAAAAAATGTATATGCATGTGCGCATGTGTGTATATAATATTATACATATAAAACCATATATATTACCCTATATATTCATACTACATATATAATATATATAATCATATGAATTACCATACATATATCAGAAGAATGTAACCAAAATGTTAATGACAATATATGTGGTAATATGTATACACACATATACACATACATATATACTGTTAGGGACTGAATGTTTATGTCCCTGCCGAATTCATATGTTGAAGCCGTAACCACCCCCTGCCCCCTGTGTGGCTGTGTTTGGAGATGGGGCCTCTAAGGAAGTAATTAAGGTTAAATAAGGTCATAAGGGTAGGGCCCTGACCCCATAGGATTAGTTTCTTTATAAGAGACACAAGAGAGCTTGTGCATTCTCTCTGCACGCACACAAAGAGGAGGCCTTGTGAGCACACAGCGAGAAGGCGGCTCTCTACAAGCCAGGAAGAGAGCCGTCACCAGAAACTGACCCTGCCAGACCTTAATCTGGGACTTTCAGCCTCCAGAACTGTGAGAACATAAATGTCTGTTGTTTAAGTCCCCCAGCCTCTGGTATTTTGTTATGGCAGCCCAAGTGAATGCGTGCATACGTGTATATATATATACATACCTACATATATGCAAATCTATGTAGTGTCTATATATATGATAAGATGTATGGTTATATATCATAATATGTATGTTTTTTAAATATATGGTTTATATACATAACTCTTAATATAAGATTGGGAGAACGGCCATCAAAATGTGGATAGTGGTTCTCTCTGGGCTGTGGGGTTATGGATGACTTTTTACTTTGTTCTTTTTCGCCCATCTGTATTATCTGAATGTTCTACAACAAACTTGTATTATTTCATTTTACTATTACTTACTATTCCTATAAGATAATTGTTAATGGTATTATTACAAAATAATTATTATTAAGCTTTCTTCTGACTAAAGTTGGCCTTGGTCTTGGAGGCTGGGACAGGGCAAAGTGGCCGTCACCAAGGAGACCAGAGGCTCAGAAGCCAGGACCAGGCAGGGATTGTGAAGGTCATATATACAACTGTGAACGGGTGATCCCGCCCGAGCCTCCTCTGGTCATCGTAACAAGATTCCCTTGAAAAATGTGTTTTCTAGTTTCCTAAGGGCCCGCTCACAAACACGCACTTGCACTGCAGGCTGAGATCCATGTGCCCTCGAGATGGGTGAAGGTCGCTGGAGCAGGGCTGTTCCCTGGGACCAGGACTGGGCTGTCCTCTGGGAATTCTTGAAAACTGGTGTGGCCTCGGGGTCTTGATGCCTGTGTTTCCTGTCTCCTGCACAGATCAGCTGGACATCATCTCCATGGCAGAGACAACCATGATGCCGGAGGAGATCGAGCTGGAGATGGCGAAAATTCAGCGTCTCCGGGAAGTCTTGGTCCGCCGGGAGTCTGAGCTCAGGTTTATGTGAGTGCTTCGGGGACGTGGTGGGGAAAGGAAGGAGCGTGGAGGGGAGGAGGCCTGGAGAACCCAACATCTACTGTTGAGTACTGTGGGCCAGGCACTGGGATAAAGGCATTACATATATATTTTTTAAAATCTCATTTGATTCTCACTACCGCCTCGAGAAGTGGGTCTGGTGATCTCCCACTTTAAATAAGACTCTGGGATTGAATTCAGGCCAGTCTGACTCCAAAGCCCAGAGTCTTTCTATGTTACCCGTTGGAGAAGAGAAAAGAGACACGAGAGAGAGGAAGAGAGAGACCGAGACCCCGAGGTGGTACTCTGTGCTGGTGTCGCTAAGGGCAGATGCTCTGGGTCCAGACAGGCCTGAGATCAAAAACAGCTGGCTGAGCGTGGGCAGGTTACTTAGCCTCGCTGAGCTTCAGTTCCCTCCTTTGTAAAATGGGGGGAAATAATAATACCTCTCTCCCGGGGCCATTAGCAACCTCAGAGTCACATGGTTTGAAAATCCGTTGTCTACGGAGCACAGTACTCCTGGGGGATTACAGGTAGTCTGTCAAGAGAAACTGTAATTTTAAAAATTGGGCTCTGGCAGGTAAACAGCGAGAGTTTAAAAGCAAAACAAAACAAAAACAGAGGATTATGAGGGAACCTTTCTGGAAAACTCCCTACACTGCCTGTCAGCTCGTGACCTAACCTCCCCTCGAAGAAGCAGCAACATCACACCTCCCAGGCACGAACTACGAACCTCTCACTCATTCTTTCACTGATTTCTCTCAACTCCGGGAGGCTGGTTATGGGATCATCCCATTTTACAGATGAGGAGACTGAGGCTCAGAGAGGTTAAATAACCTGCTCAGGGCCTCCCAGCTCGTAAATAGGGGAGTTAGGATTCGGGCCCAGCTCTTCCTGCCTTCAAAACCCATGTTCTCACTGCTACATTGTATGACCTTCTCTCTCACCCCATGAAATGGACTGCGATATCAACAGCTGCCATTGAGTCAGCTCTTTGCACGCACCAGACCCTGTGCTAAATGCCTCATGAGCATGACCCCTTCTCACAGAAGCCCTTAGAGGAAGGTTCTAGAACATCCCCACTTTACAGATAAGAAACATCCTCCCTTTCATCTGGGAATAAGCTAAACAAGTACATCATGGGTGTTCAGGAACCATCCCTCCCTCCCCGTAGTTTTCGTTTTATTTTTTGTTTTTCAAGAGAACCTGATGAAGGATTGGTTGTGTGGGAGAAGTATCAACTAAGACCATGTGTTCTATTAGGTCGGGTGATTCCAACAACAGAGACAGCCAGGACTGGGTGTGATGAGTTTGAGATGCCTGTGGGTCCCCAAGTAGCGATGAGCAGCAGGGAGCTCCGGGTCTGAGTGTGAAGTGGAGGGACTCTCTACATGCGGAGATTTGGGGCTGACCCAAATATCATCAGTTATTGCATTCGCGCAAGGGGTACAGTCACCCCACATAAACAAGGAGACAAAAACAGCAAGGATCCAAGTGTAGGATCCAGAGAAGGCTGTTCCTCCTTGTGGAAGGAGTCGGGGGAAAGGAGAAAAGCAGCTGTCAAACTTGCGGTGAAAAAATATGGAATAACTGAGAGTTCAGTGGCAATAAGAGGGCTTGGGATTATAATAGTCTATAAATAGTACATACCAGACACATGGAAATTAAACGTCTTTCTTCCTCCAGGTCCGTTTTTAATCCCAATTCATAGAAGCGACCTATGCTAATAGCATTGGTTTTTATTAATTCTGGTGGATAGTTTTATGACTATTCTCCTTTTTCTTAATATATAACCTTTAGTCAGGATGTACTAAGTCCTCCTTACAAAAGATGATTAAATTATTTCCTGGGTCTTGCCTGCGCATCTTTTTTCTATTTTTAGACTTTCGATTTTTACTGTTCTCAAAAAGCATATTACTTAAGTTCAGTTTTAAAACCATAATTAAGCTTCTGCTCTTATCTATCGATTGTTTCTAACATTAAAAACACATCACTGGCATTTATAATACCCTCCCCCCTGCTTTAAAAGAAAGAAAATAGAGAACATGAGCTCTGCTTTAAAGTACAGAAGAGCTCCCTTCAGCCAGCAGGTGCTCAGAAGGGGCCAGAGGGTGCTCTTGCTGCTACGGGAACGATGGCTGTCACTTCGCATTGACTGGCCTTTGCATCGTGTGTGTGCTCGCACTCGAGGGCACGCGCACACACGCAAACATACGCATTATCCCCGGCATCTGGCGCGTGCCTGGCACATGGTGAGGGCTCACTGACAAGAATAGCTAACATGTAAGCTCTAGCTCTGGGCCACGCACCACCCCAAGCTCTTGACTTGTGACCTCACTGAATTTCCCCATCAGCCCGTGAGTCTGACCACTTAGGGACAAATGTCAACAGTAGACACTTGACTAAATCAAATTATCTGAAGGACACAGAAGGATGTCAGCGTAGTCAGGACATAGGGCGGGGCTCAGTGACATTCCCCGGGGGAGGGGCCAGCTTCCAGGCCTCCAGGAGTCTCCCTAGCAGCCCACAGACCCGCAGACGGCAGTGGATGATAATAACGGCTCCCCCAGGCCCAGCCTTGCACAGTATGTAGCCTTGCCTGGAGGCGCACCCACCTCGTCAATCTCAGAAGTGCGAGATGGACTCCAGGATGGACAAAGTAGAGATCACAGCCCACTCAGACCTTGACAAGTGCCTCATCCATCATCCTTGGCCTCCCAGGCTAACAGGCCATGTATGTGGATCGTTCTTAAATTCAGTTTCCTGGCTATTTCTCAGAGCCAGGCCCTTACAGAGCTGTATTGTGCAGGTGGGTCCTATTGTTGTCTCCATTTTAGAGAAGAGGGAATGGGAAGCTAAGAAATTTGCCCTAGGCTGCCTTAGCTAGTAAGCAGAAGCTAGGGTACAGGTTGAATCCAGACTATTTATTAAGTGAGAGAGGGAAGGAAGGAAGGAGGGAGGGAGGGAGAGAAAGAGGAAGGGAAGCTCTGAATATATCTACCAAGATAATTCCTTAAAGAACGTAAGCGCCGTGAGGGCAGGGATCTTATGCGTCATCTTCACTGTTGAACAGTCCCTGGCACTTACTAGGCCAATTAATATTTGTTGAATGTGCAATAAATTATTCTTTCGCACTCCATCCTTACCCCAAAACTTCCCTTTACACACCACACACACACACACACACACACACACACGTGAGACCTCTTGGCACAGGGTAAGAGGGAAATAGAATTTCAGACCGTATTAAGCATTTATGGCTCAGGTGAGGAAGCCCGGAGTGACAGGGATGTGACAGCCCTTGGCTGAAACAGTCCCAATGACCGTAGCCCTAATAACCGGGATGAGATTGGTTGTGTCACACCTGCTCCACAGTAATCCAGTTGATACCCATCAGCTCCCTCGGAGACGGTGTGAGTCAGGCCGTGTTTCCCAGCTGAGGGTGCCAGCTCACTTCCGCCGCCTCCTGCTATGTTGACTCTTTCAAGAACCAGTGCGATGGCTGCTGCCCCAGCCCCTGCAGCGTTGGCATTATTCTTTCCTGGTTTCCCTTTTCTCGTCCGCTCTGTCTTGCCCTCTCCCCGGGGACTCACAGCCTCTGCTGGTTCTCCCTCTCCTCTGGCCAGGATGGTGAGGAAGTACAAGAGGGAGATTCACCCACTCTCAGCGAACTAGCGTGAACTCACGAGAAGTGGGCTTAGGGGTCATCCTGGCTCTCCCATGTCCTCGGCTGTGACCTTGGGCACATGACAGAGCATGTAAGAACTGCTGTTTACTGAGGACACTGACGTGTCACATACAAGCTACACACACTGTGTATATTCGCTCACTTATTTTAGCTTATTGAACCCTCACAAGCACTCTTACGGGATGGGTTCTATTCCTCCTATTTTATGGATGAGGAAACTGAAGTTAGAGAGGGGAAACAACCTGTTCAAGGTCACCAGCTCGCATGAGGTAGAACCAGGATTTGAACCCACGCTGTCTGTCCCAGAGCCAGAGCCCTTACCCCTAAGCTAGACTATTATCTTTATCCCCAACATGAAGACCCTTTTCCTCTTTGCCCAGTTCTTCTAGAATTCAAAGACAAACTCCTGGTTGGATGCCCATAATCCCACAGTGGGTTTTGTCTTGTTCCGCCATCTTGAATTGAGTGCAATGGAAATGGACAGGATTCTACTGAGTCAAGCGTTGGACTTTTCCGTACTCTTTCTCTGGAGATAAGTGATTGATGTGGAGCCTAAAACGATGAGCTCCAACTTAGACAGTCAAGGTTTGCAAAGTCAGCCTGCTGGGAATTCGCTGTAGTGCCCTATTCCTAGAAGGGTTCTCAGGAACTACAACAGTCAACATTTATTGAGCCCTTACTAGGTAGGGGCCCAGCCTGTGCTAAGCCCTCTGCACATATTATCACATAACCTACAAAAAGTGCTTGCTAGTGGAAGGACGAATCAGGAGCAACCCCAGCATACCTGCTCGCCTGGATAAGGCCCACAAGGTCGGGTTCAGAGAAGGGCTAAGAGGCAGCCTGGAGGGCATATGTCCTGGCTCCGCACCCCCAGTGCACATTCTCTCCCTGTCTTCCCTTAGCTTGTCCTCTGGCTTCCAAGTTGCTAAATGGTGTGTAGAGATCTCCCTCTTGAAGTTTGGCAATTTTCTGAGCTTCATTTGGGCGAGTTGGTAAACCCCTCAGGATCATGAAACCGCCTCTGTAGCAGGTGACAAGTGCCCGGGAGATAAAGCTTGAATCCTGCTTTGCTCTGTCCTTGATCTTCCATGTCACACACCTCCGGTCCCTCCCGCTGCCCCATCTCTGCGCCTCTCCCCACCCTGTCCTACGGAGGCTGTCAACACCCTCTGACTCATTCTCCCCCCCTAATTCCAGCACTGCATCACGCCATTAGCTTGCACAACTCCTCCTGCAGCCCCTGGTTGCCCGCCTCAGCTCTTCTGCATCCTCCCTACAATCCTGGTCCTGCTGTTTATCT